CATAAGTACAGTCTGTGAGTAAGTACCCAGTGTGAAGCTGAGGCTGTGTGTGTGTGCGAGGCAGAGAAATGGTGTAGGGCACTGACTTAAGATTAGAATTCAAGTACACATATCGTGTTTATTTTCCCCCAAAATTTGTACACATGTAAACTCAACTTAAAGGGACCGTATTACGACCCAGAGGTAACAAAACCATGTAATGTAAAATGGTAATAAAAAAAGAAACGAAAACAAAACCAAATGGGACACACACACACACACACACACACACACACACACACACACACACACACACACACACACACACATACACACACACCCACAAACATACTACAAACTAGGGCTGGGCGATAAAACGATATATATTGTGATAGAAAACGGGGTTGATAGAATGTTCGATAGTTTAACTTCACTCCGTAAGAAAAAACAGGAAGAAAACACAGGAAGTAAAGCTGAGTCAGAAGCGCCCAGCATTCTGGGGGATGTAGGCAGAGACTTCTTGACCTATCACAGCCAATCATGGACTGCAAAACATTCTGGGAAATGCAAAAACAAAACCCGCACCATGCGTAAGCGTCCATGGATCATGGATTGTGTTTCAATGCCGTGTCAGTGGTTGTGCACGTCCGTGTGAGGAACAGCATGTGCGGTGCGGCAGTGGACACGGAGACCCGATGCATTCGGCAAAAGCAAGAGATGAACTTTTTCCACAGGAAGCACAGCTGCACGGAGCCGTCACGGGGACACAAGACACTCGAAAACAGCCAAAACAGGAGCTAAACCAGGACTAAACCAGGATTAAACCAGGACTAAACCAGGATTAAACCAGGACTAAACCTGGATTAAACCAGGACTAAACCAGGATTAAACCAGGACTAAACCAGGATTAAACCAGGACTAAACCTGGATTAAACCAGGACTAAACCAGGATTAAACCAGGATTAAACCAGGACTAACAATGGGGGACACTGTGCTTGTGAACATATTCCTCCAGCCTCATTCCCCCGTGACTGTAAACTGCTGATGTGTGTTATCCAACACAACAAATGTATTTATTTAGGTTTTTAAAAAAAAACAAAAAAACAATCAATATATATTGTTATCGGACGATATGAATTACTTATATTGTGATATAGTTTTCAGCCATATCGCCCCCAGCCCTACTACAAACACAAACACACACACTCACACAGTGATGATGGACACATGTGGTTTTATATTGCACTTTCTGACATTAGTTTGAATTATTGCTCGGACGCATGTCCGGTCAGATCGGCAGTGTTCGTTAGTCCTCGTTGTTTGTTGTACAAAAGATGTTTTGTGAGGTTTTTATTTTTAGAACAGGACACACAAACAGACTGATCTGTTTACTCTGCTGTGTTAAATGTTAAGAGTCTTGTTTACACAATTGTGTGGCTTGTAATTAAATAAACTGTTCTGAGGTCGCTCTGTCTACGTCTGTTGCCGGTTAGTGCCACTGACCATTTTGACCCCGGCTCTTTCCTTCAAATTACCCTTCATGTAATAATGATAATAATACTAATAATAACAATAATATACTGTGTGTGTTTGAATGACAGCACCGTAATGTCCCAGCTGCTTCAGTCTGCACGCACACGTCTCATTAGCCCCCCACCAGTGTGATTAGCCTCCTGCCGCACTCTGTAACACAACACACACACACACACATACACACACACATTTAAACTAGCCACTCCTCACGCTCACACCTACACTACACAACACACATGTACGTATATACATACAAACACACACACACAGTCTCAACACACACAACATCAATCAATCAATCAATCAACGTTTATTTATAGAGCGCCTTTCCTACACAAGGCAACGCAAAGCGCCTCACAACCCATATAACATCATGCATAAATCATCAAACATTAGAATTTAAGTAAACATAAAAAGACAGATTAAGAGCACAAGATATATAAAATCACACAAGTAGTTAAAAACCGTAAAACATTAAAATCACACAAGGGATTACAATCATAAATAATCATAAATAATCATAGCGCATTAAAAAGATTAAAGATAAAAAACAAATATAAAATCATTCACTTGTATGCACAGCTAAAAATAACTGTTTTCAGTTCAGTTTTAAAAACTGCTAGAGTAGACGCCTGTCTCACACTCTCGGGAAGACGGTTCCAGACTCTAGCTGCATGAATCTGAAACGCAGCCTCCCCATGTCTAGTTCCGACTCTTGGCACTAACAGAAGTCCAGTCCCTGTGCTCCTCAGAGCCCGAGTTGGTTCATATGGCACCAACATGTCGCGGATGTACCCTGGTGCGAGGCCATGGAGAGACTTGTACACAAGTAAAGCTTGTAAACCGGACTAATGTGGTCGTACTTCCTGGTTCTAGTCAGGACTCGAGCTGCAGCATTTTGGATGTAATGCAGCTGTTTTACCGCTTGTTTAGAGAGACCTGTGAACAAGCCATTGCAGTAGTCCAATCGACTGGAGACAAATGCGTGGATAAGAATCTCCAAGTCTGCTTTAGACACAATGTTTTTAATTTTAGCAATGTTTCTTAGGTGGAAGTAAGCTGATGATGTCACAGATGATATGTGGCTATTGAAATTTAAGTCTGAGTCCATTATTACTCCTAGATTTCTGACCTGAGTTGAGGGTTTTAGGGGAGAGACTGGAGGTGGCAGATAACGCTCTCTCTTTGTTTTTGAGGTCCGAAAACAATAATTTCAGTTTTTTCTGTGTTTAGCTGGAGAAAGTTATTTTGCATCCAATCACTGATTTGTTGGATACAGTGAAGGAGCGAGTCCACTGGTCCATGTTCTCCTGCTGTCAGGGACACATAGACCTGAGTATCGTCAGCATAATTGTGATAGGACACGTTATTACTGTGTATTAACCTACCCAGAGGCAGCATGTAAATATTAAACAGGAGAGGCCCCGGGATTGATCCCTGTGGCACTCCGCAGGTTAGGGCCAGATGGTCTGAGATACAGTTTCCGATCTCCACAAAATACTTTCTGTCCTGTAGGTAGGATATAAACCAGCTTAGGGCTGTTCCAGAAACACCAACCCAGTCCTCAAGTCTCTGAATAAGGATACCATGATCGACAGTGTCGAAAGCAGCACTTAAATCTAACAGGATAAGAACTGAGACTTTTCCTGCGTCAGTGTTAAGTCTGAGGTCATTTGTTACCTTCACTAGAGCGGTCTCTGTGCTGTGGTGGGGTCTAAAACCAGACTGGAACATATCAAAAGAGTGATTGATTATTAAAAATTCTGTAAGTTGTTGATAGACAACTTTTTCTAGAATTTTACCCATGAAAGGCAGATTTGAAATGGGCCGATAATTTTTAAGTGCCAAGGCATCCAGACTCCTCTTTTTTAGGAGGGGTCTGATGACTGCCGTTTTCAGGGCCATTGGGAATGTTCCAGATTCAAGAGACATATTTACTATATGCGTGAGTGAAGGTAAAAGACTGCTCAGAACAGATTTAAGAAATCTAGGAGGTAATACATCCAGGCTACATGTAGAAGAACTCAGACTTGTAATTATCATTTGGACAGTTTCATTTTGTACTGGTGTAAAGTGTGTCAGCCCAAAAAGCTTCACTGGCTGTTGGATTGTAATTTCTACTGTGGAGGTGATGGCATTTTTGATGCCTTGGACTTTGTCATTAAAAAACTCTGCAAACTCATTACATTTGGTTTTGGAGGTAAGCTCTGATGGCATCTTAACAGCGGGATTTGTCAATTTATTTACTGTTGAGAACAGAACGCGTAGATTGTTACTGCAACCTTCAATTGTTTCGGAAAAATAAGTTTCCCTCCGTTCTACGTAGCACACTGTTGAACTTGCACAATGCATCTTTGAAGATCTCATGGTCAACTTGGAGATTTGACTTTCGCCACTTCCGCTCGGCTCTCCGGCACTCTCTCTTCTGTGCCCTGACAGAGTCTGAAAGAGGCATATGCTGCTTTTTATAGGCTTTTTAAAATATTATAGATTGGAATATGGGTCAAGGGATATGTGTTTTTCCGGGTCAATATCTATAACTTTTGGTAGAAGTGAAAAGTGAAAATAGGTAGATTAGAAACACGGGTACAGGATGTAAGTACGTGTGTTAGCTGCAACACTGCACCAGTTCAGAGTTATGGCAGGTATGTAAAAGTGGAGGATAATGGGGATCCAGGGGTAGGAGGTGTGATGTCTGAAGTATTGGAATAACGGCTCCCAACTGGATGTGTGTAAGAGCAGAGTTGGAGAGATCTCCCAGGTAACAGACTTGCATTACCAGCATGAACCAAACTAAAGTAATCAGTCTTTAGGCACATAGACAATGTAAGTGCTGTTGTATTGTGCAGTAGACAAAAAGAAACACTATCAAGACTAATACAGTTTGAGTTCATTTGAATTGCACAAAGAATTTTTATTGTGGGATTAAAAAAAACCTCTCCTGTTGCTTTTTCTCTCTCTCTCTCTTTCTCATGAAGCTGTGCACAAAGCAGCTTTGCATTTTAATAAAGTTCTGCCCACCTCTACTGACATTCACTAAACATTCACGATAATCTAAAGCTACATTTGTTTACATGGTGTGAACAAGCAAAACGGCTCGAGAGAATAAACATTTTTCTAAGCGTTGGATAGGTGCCTTAGTCAGTTAATATCAGCTCTGTTTGTGTACAAGTCTCCTCATGGCCTCATATGAACCAACTCGGACTCAGAGGAGCACAGGGACTGGCCTCCTGCTGGGACTCTGAGGAGCACAGGGTCTGGTCTCCTGCTGGTGCCCAGAGTCAGGACTAAACATTGGGAGGCAGCATTTCTAACATATGCAGCTAAAATCTGAAAAAGTCTTGGTGAAAATGTGAGACAGGCTTTTACAATGTTGAAATCCATGTCAACAACAGTTCTGTTTAGCTGCGCACACACTCTCTTTAATGTACTGTGAAACAATGTCAGTTGTTGTAAAGATCTTGGTGAACAGTAGTCGGGGGTCTTACCTTGAGGCCTCCGCACTCTGCAGCTGAGCCCTGGTCCACTCCGGTGATGTAGATGCCCAGAGCGTACTCCGCCCCCCCACGGATCATCAGGCCCAGACTACGGCCGTCATCCAACACCAGGTTCACCTATGTACACACAAACACACACACACACACAGGGTCACTGATGTTGTCAACACAGCTATGTCTGAACTAGATCAAAAAGAGGATTCAGCGAGAGAGAGAGAGAGAGAGGGTGCTCGTGCATTGAATCGACTTGTGAAAGCTACAGAAGGGCCTTCTGAACCGGGCTCTCAGATATCTGGGAAATCAAATCATAATTAGGTTTATCAGCCATTTTAGAAAATTACCAAAAGATAAAAGGTACAAATGATGATATAGAGGAGGAAAAGGGTGCCTGTTTCTTCTCAGCTTTTTCTGGGGCACTCTAGTCTGTTTTGGACGAGGGACAAAGAGTATTTTGTGGTTCAAAGCTCAAAACAGACAAAAAATAACCCAACACTTTAAATACACAAGACTTATAAATAACTATATACATTTCTTTTTCAATAGGCAAGATACTGTGTGTATTGGATATTTTCTTTTAACTATGGACCGTGTTGTAAAGTGTCCTTAATAAAAAAAAGATTAATAAACTCTTATAGTTAGATGGGCAATTACAGACAACATCTAACAGATTATATATTTACAAATTCTGTCAGTGTCTATGGAGTGACTGAATAATGAAATGTGAAGCATCTTCGAATGTCTAAAAAGCACTGTACTGTATAAAACCATTATCATTACAATCATCATTATTAGATGGATTGCATGACATTGCTTTTGTGGTTTGAAAGTTAGGTACCCCAGCTTTAAGTATTCCCTGTGCTTTATATGCCACTGCAACTGTGTGGTGGCTGCATTCTCATTCATCCATAGTTCTCTCAAGGTTGTGGGTCTTAAATCAGACCAATTCTCTGCACAGTATGAACCATAACCAATTTTCCTTTTTTTGTGTAGCGACCATTGAAATATTTGCCATCAGGAGTTGAAATGAAATTGATACTTCACATCCTGATTTCAGCGAGAGTGTTCCGGATCCATTTGCTTTTATTCCTCTTTCTGCTGTGTCCTTCTTTCACCTCCAGTATGTTGATACAAGTATGATTGACTTGACGTGGCCCTCACTGTCCCTTCTCTTCTTTCCGATGTTAAGCTTGTGGAATCACAGAGTATTATTGTTGCAGAAAACGACTTTTGAAACTTTTTTCTTCCATGGATAAGTCCTGATTTAGTTGTGGTACAGTCCTGCTTATCGACCTGGTTTAGTCCTGGTTTAGTCCTGGTTTTGTCCTGGTTTAGTCCTGGTTTAGTCCTGCTTTAGACCTGCTTCTGTCCTGGTTTGGGCCTACTTTATGTCTGCTTTAGTCCTGCCTCCTGCTTTTATCCTACTGTGATCAACAGCTTTACTCCTGTGTTGGTCCTGCTTTAGTCCTGGTTTAGTCCTGGGGCAGTCCTGCTTTAATCCTGCTTTGATGCTAATTCAGCCATGTTTCAGTCCGGCTGTAGATCTTCTTTAGACCTGCTTCAGTCCTGCTGGAGACCTGCTTTAGTCCTGGTTCAGTCCTGCTGTAGATCTGCTTTAGTCCTGGTTCAGTCATTTATGTCACACTCACCATTTCAATCTTTAAAAATCCATTCTTTTACCCTGGGGTGTATATTGTGATATTGTTTAGTGTGTATTTGTAAATCCAGATATGAATCCTTACAACTGACCAATCAGGAGCCTCCAGTCTTTGAATTCGGCTTTTAACTAGCAAGTAGCATGAGTGAGGACAGACCAGCGCTGCTCCTGATTGGTGCTCGGTAACTTGGGCATTTGGTACTAAGAACATTTGAAGGAAATGTCAGTGTTGCATCACCAGTTACAGAGCAGTAGAAATGAGGAGCAGACAGCACAAGGTGAATGAACAGAGCTCTATACTAAATTCTCTACTAAATAAAAATAAAATGTCTGGCTTTAGCGTAACACAGAAGCAGTCAATGATCTATTATAAGAAGCAGTACAAAATCTCTGGCTTTAGCATAATAAAGAAGCAAGTATAAAAGTATGTGTATAAATATACCTATAGTTGTATGTACAGTATACATTTGTAACTGTTAGCAGCATGAGGGTCTGCCTAGCCTGGAATCTAGCCTGTTCAAGCTAGCTCCAATCGGCTTCTTCTGCATCCAGGCTAACACTACGGTAACCTCCTGATATACAGTCTATTCAAGTGTTTGCCAATAAAACTGTACTAAAGCAATCATTTGTACTTTCTATCACTGGCGATAAGAACTGGAGAGATCAGATTTATAATAGTCTTGTGCATTTCTATCGATCGTCATTTATCCTTTCATTGATGCTCTAATGAAAGCTGATCCCGGAGGATGCAGAGTGTAATAAGGCGGGGAAGACCTTTCCTTTTTCAGAAAACCCTATGTTCAATATTAGATTGATGTGTCTTACCTGCGTGCATGTGTGTGTGTGCGAGTGTGTAATTTGGGTGTGCGTGTATTATCCGTTGTGTGTGTGTGTGTGTATATGTGCCATGTGTTGTATGTGTGTTTGTAGTGTGTTGTGTTGTGACTGTGTGTATATATACATGTGTGTGTGTGTGTGTGTGTGTGTATGTGTATATATATATATATATGTATTAAGTAAGTAAGTAAGTAAGTTTTTATTTATATACCGCCTTTTCACTGCAGATCTGCGTCTCAAAGCGGTTTACAATTGTTACATTTTTGGGCATTTGTCTCTCACTCCACACAGAGATGGGAGCAGGGTCACCAGTACAGGAGGCACATGCCAGAACTATTGGACATATTTTTAGTGGTAGGGGAAACCGGAGTACCCGGAGGAAACCTACGCAGACACGGGGAGAACATGCAAACTCCACTCAGAAAGGCCCTGGTCCGACCGGGATTCGAACCCAGGACCTTCTTGCTGAGAGGCGAGAGTGCTATCCACTCAGCCACCGTGCCGCCCGTAAAAGAACACTTATACTGTATGTACTGTATGTGTGTTTGTGCATGTATGTATTTACTGTGTGTGTGTGTTTGTGCATGTATGTATTTACTGTGTGTGTGTGTGTTTGTGCATGTATGTATTTACTGTGTGTGTGTGTGTTTGTGCATGTATGTGTTTCGATGTATGTCTGTGTACTGTATGTCTTTCACATATTTACTGCATATGCTCTTTGCAATTCTACAGCATTGTGCAACAGAAATACAGTCACATACATAGAGCAAACATACAGAATATCATTATGGTAGAACTGTGACAAATGTAAACAATAAAACACACACCTCGTCATGAGTGAAGCTGAAATTTGAAATTAGGAAAGATTTTCTGGATATAAAAAGATAAAGTAATGTATGAAATTAGTTTGACAGATTTTGGTTTTGAACAGTTTTGTATGTGATGACCAAAGCGATGAAATGAGGACTACTGGTTTTACAGAAACTATTCAGTCGTGATAAGTATGTTTCATTCTGATTGACAGGACAGAAGCAAATGATAATGTTATAAAACAGCAGAGAACTGTATGAAAGTAACTGATACATGTCCAAAAGCATTTGTAAAGTGTTCAAAGGAGAAACTGCCGCGATGATGTCACACACGACTCAATGTTGTGGAGGTTCTGCTGTAATGATTTTTTGTATTTTTGTTTTTCTACGTAAATACTGTATGTGTACTATTTTTGTTGCAGAATGCTGTAGAATTGCAAAGAGCATAAGCAGTAAATATGTGAACATACAGTACATACATATGTATCACTAAATACAGTCACAATGAAAACATGACTAAATCATTTGACTGTTGTTCATAAACACTGATGTCAGGACTTATTGTTTTGAGATACAGACAGTTTCATTAACATGAAGACTTTCTTTTGAGGAATTAAGTTCATTTTGAGAAAGTGACTTTTTAGCAGGTTATCCATGAGGTTTTGCAGTTTGCACTCATTGTTCTGAGAAATGCACTAACTGTTGTTAAAATGTGAAGAATTATGTGAAAAATGCACCAAAGACACTGAGAAAAACTGATTACAAAATATATACAGCGCATTCTCAGGGTACACAGCACATGTGTATCTGTGGTCTCACAGACTACTGTAGTACTCTCTTGCAGCTCTCCCTCCCCCGCACGAATAAACAAAGCCCACCCCAGCCCCCTGCTGTTATAAGTCATTACCTACTATGAGATTTCATAACACTTAGAAGCAACTTTTGTTAAAGTTAAACTCATCATTCTATCAATGTGCAGAAGCCAGTACTTTTCCCTTGTTTTGTCTATCTGAAGGCCAAGCTACATGGCACCGTGGCAGCTGCTGATTGGAGGTCTCCATGCCTCCGCTCTGTATAATACACTTGCATTCTCTTGTATCTGTGATCGTTGGCTTTGATCGTACTGTCTCTACCATTGACAATAAAACATGTCTTCTGTCTGAATTTAAGACGCGATCCCAGACTATGTCATCTTCTTCACTACATTTGCAAATCAATACATGCAAATGTTAGCAGCCAACCTAGCAAGTTAGCTCCTTCTTCTCAAAACAGGGGCCAATTTCGCTTGGGTTTTCTAGTGTTAAAGCTGCGGTACGTAACTTTCAAAGCACAAAAGCTGGAACTACGTGTTGTGGAAACGTTTTTAATGATCCATGGAAACAAAGTTGTATTTTGTGTGGTTTGATTAGAGTAAAAAGTATTTGATAAAAAACAAGTATTATAATGGAGAGTTCTGCCCAGCCTCCCTCTTTTTTTAGGAAAAAGTAGATTCCCTTACATCCAATGACACAGACTGGTTGCCTTGCTTCTGTTAGTGTGTCTCAGGGCAGCTGTGGCTACATTAGTACACCACTGTGTATGGAGGGAATGAATAATGTCCTGCGAAGCGTCTTCCAGAGTCAAATAAACGCTGTATATAACCAATACATTATTATTATCATTAACAATAGACTGCAGGTTTTGTTCTTCATTTCAAATACAGTTTTAGATTACTAGAAAAAATCCTCCAGATCTTGTTCTGACTAAGAACATCAAGCCTGGAGATGGATTCCCAGACG